TGTCAATATGTGGATTTTTCAGTTATTTCTTATAAATAACACTATTTTTTGTTACATCACAGAAACCTTGTATGTGTTATTTGCAGAATGAATCTAAACTTTTTGCTGCTTTAGAATTGTGAAAATCTATGGCTTATATACATGTGATACACAGTCTAAAACTTCAAGTTCAAATTTCTTTATACTTTACCACATAGTATTATTTGTTTAATAGATTAATCCAACTTATTAATACTTTAACAATTTGGTATCTTGTACAACTGAAAGTTTCTTTATTACTTTCATTGAAAATTTTGATCCACTCAGTATAATGTTTTAAGAACTATTGTTGTTCCATACTTTGTACTTTGAGTTCACTGTTGAGTCAACCTACATGCAACTGCACAGTTCTCCAGTAGTTGACATTTTGTAGTGATCATGTGTATACCACACTTACCTAGTGTGCTATTCCATTGGCTTTCGAAGGTTCTTTCACCAACTTGATTTAACAGTATTGTGTTGTGAGATATTCAAGAGCTGGTAACTTACTCATGTTTTATTCACTGGAAATAGTTTTCTATTTTGATAAGCATACACTTTGTACTTGTGAGTGGGCTTACAGTTTTATGTTTCTTACACGCTGGTTTTCCGTGGACTTACAGTCTTATATTTTTTATTTGTGTACAATACGTGTTCAGTGGGCTTACAGTTTCATGTTTTTTACATGTACACAATAGTATTCAGTAGGCTTACAGCTTGATGTTTCTTGCTTGTATACAGTATGGTGTTTGTTGGGTTTCAGTTTTGTTGTGTCTTATGCATACACAATATGGCATTCATTGGGGTTATAGTTTGTTGTAGTATTTATTTCATGTGGCTTACTTTGATATTTGTGTTCAGTGGCTCTTAAAGAGTTTTGAGGTGTTTACACTTACCATTCACAAGCACAGTGTAGTGTTGAGTAAGTTTACAGATCTATGTTGTGTAGTTATTCAGTATAGCATTCAGTACTAATGAAGAGTTTGATGTTGCATATGTTTACATGGTGTGGTATTTTGTGGGCTTGAACAGTTTGGTGTGAAATACAGTTACACAGTGTGGTATTCTAGGGCTTGAACAGGTTGATGTGAAATACAGATACACAGTGTGGCTTTGTAGACTTGAAAAGTTTGGTGTGAAATACAGTTACACAGTGTGGTATTCTAGGGCTTG